GAGATCTCAACCCTCCCACTTCTTCATCTTGATAAGTAGATCAAAAATTATACATTAAAGAACATACAATAATCAAAGTACTGAAGTACTGTCTACTCGTATGACCTCAAAATCTGTTGGTTGAGGAATAAATTATAGGGATTTTAATCTTGCTGTTGTGATAAATCACTTATATGCATCATCTGACAATCATTATAATCTGGATTGCTGCATTTTTATCATATCAATATATGTATAACAGTGGTGTAGCAGATCATCTTTATAACCTGATAGGCAAATGTTTTCTAATGATCGTGTAAAGTATGAGAATAGCAGGCACCCTCCGGCAATAATTCGTATTTTCTAATGAGCTTGAGTTGTGCAGGCAACCATATTTCTATACTTTATCAGCTAAATGTTTAATCTTCTGAATATTTTCGTACTCAATATACATGATATAGATTTGTGTACTCTGCAGGTTATTTGGAAAAATGGTTTGTTTAAATGCTTTGATCTACTATGTATGTTAATGTTTTAGGTTTTTTATCACCCGGTCCTTTTGACATTTACCTATTGTGGTCCAATATCCAAAAATATGAATACATTGTTAGATTCAGCATATCCCAAGAACCCCAATAATTCATTTTTTTATGAAATCAAACAAAGTTTAATTTTTGACCCTTTGGACCTCAATATGGACCAATTTGATAACGGGCTCCTAAATATACGATTAGATTCAGCATATAAAAAAATCCCATATATTCAATTTTTGTTCAAATCAAACAAAGTTTAATTTTGGAACCTGATTTTGACCAACTTGAAAACTGGGCACAAAATCAAATATCTAAATACATATTTAGATTCAGCATAACAAAGAACCCAAATAATTCAATTTTGGTTAAACACCAACAAAGTTTAATTTTGGACCATTCGGACCTTAATGTGGACCAATTTGAAAACGGGGCCCAAAAATGAAAAAATCTATATACACTGTTAAATTCAGCATATCAAAAAACCCCAATTATTCAAATTTTGATGAAATAAAACAAAGTTCAATGTGGACCCTTTAGACCTCAATGTGGACAAATTTAAAAATGGGGCCCAAAACCAAAAATATAAATATACTGTTAGATTCAGCATATTAAAGAACCCAAAGAATTCAAAACATTGAATTAAACACCAGTATAAATGGTCAAGAAATAAGCAATTTATACAAAGTATTAGAAAAGTATTGTTTTGGCCCCCTTTTTTCCTAAATAGTAAGGGCCATTACGGCCAAAATCCCAACTTTGCTTTTTTGGTATGGAACCTTGTGGTACATTTTCATAGAGATCCAAAGACTTATACTTAAGTTATTGTCCGGAAACCAGAAAATCCTTGTTTTTTGGCCCCTAATTCCTATTCGGTTAAGACAATAACCCCCAAATTCAGTCCCAACATTCCTTTTGTGGGATGGATCCGTTTTGTGGTACTATTCCATAGAGATGCATACACTTATTGTCAAGTTATTGTTTGGAAACCAAATGTCTAGCTTAGGACGACGACGACAATGTCATACCATTATATGACTACACAAATTTTAAAAAAGTCTCTGAACCATGCAAATAACGTCAAGGACAATGGACATAAGACAGAGGGAAACTTTGTAACATTATATTGGTATACTGTATGAAGCATCAAAGTCTTCTACTCGCGGAAGTATAAAGCTGTATGCAAATAGTTTACCCTGTCACTGGATTGTAATTATTCGCATTGCATGCAAGACAAAGATTAAGTCCCCAAATTATAACACAAATCAATATTTAACATTGGGAATCAATTTTGATAAGCATATCATAACTTCGATATCAAATTTTGGGGAAATTTTAGCCAAAGAAATGTTTTCTCAAAATTTGTGATTATTTTGTGAAGTTTTCTACTACCATTTTTTTCCCCAAATTTTGCAATACACAAGGGACCTTCCTTTTATATTTATTTTCACTTTGCATATTAATTTTTTGAATCAGTTGAGGCAATCTTGACTTATCGTATGACGTAGAAGTGTTGACAGACTGATGAACAGAGAGATTCCTATAAAGGGCACATGTCAACAACTGGGCCCTAATAATCAACAATATGTTTTTTTAATTTTTGTTCATTTATATGTTTCGGAGTTTAGTGTGACGTCCATTTTCGCTGAACTGGTTACAGATTTTTGTTTAGGGTCCAGCTGAATCCCACCTCTAGGTGCGGGATTTTCTCGCTGTGTTGAAGACCCATTGGTGGCCTTGGGCTGTTTTCTGCTCTTTGGTCGGGTTGTTGTCTCTTTGACACATTCCCCGTTTCCATTCTCAATTTTATTAACTGTCACAAAAAATATAAAATGAATTTATGACAAAATGTGCTGTAAAGAAGCACAAAACCCCCTTTTTGGGCAGCAATAAACTCAGTAAAAAGATATGAAAGTTTAATTCTTAAATTCACCATTTTTGGGAAATAATGGAACACATGTCAGCTGGATCTTTTCTACAAAATATCATTTGATCCCAGTGTGTTTAAAGTTCACATTTTGACAAAATCCATCGATATATCTGCAAATAACAATAGCACAAAATCTAGCATCTCAAGTTGTATTGTCAAACTTCATGTTACTTCGTTTGTTCATTACTTGACGTCTCTCATTACATTCTGGTAGTTGTAAACCATTGAATCACTAGTTTATACATTTTCCTAAAAGAACAGCACATATATAAATTTCTGAGTAAATGTGGCTGTATTTAAAAAATAATGCATACATTCATGTGGCATTGAAGAAAAATCCAATTCCAGATTATATACATCTCTTGTTTTCATATTTCATAGTATTTTCTAATATTTTTAATTTAGCAATCTAAAAAAAAACTCTTAATGCTGACTTGTGAAAATGCAAGTTTTGTCTACTGAGGATACATTGTAATTTGTACATTTGGCAGAGCTAAATGTATAATGTGATATTTCATATATAAAATATTATATAAATATATAAATATAAAACTTTATTCCAAAGTATTAAAAAGTATTCATTCTTACAAATCATATTAAAGTTGAAATTGCTTTTAAGGATCACACTGACTATTTATTATATATATATATATATATAGTGGACACAAGTAAACTTATTTACAACTTTTACAGAGCTTGCCATATTCTATAAACACCTGTCCATTTTTGAAGTAATCCCCCGAATGTCTGTTTGAGATTTTTGTCATTATCATTGGGTTGCTGTCTCGTTGACAAATATCCACATCTCTTTTATTCATACATATGAAAGTTTTGTATTACATGTAGTAAGTGTTATTGAACCTACATTTTTTAAAGCATGATTACATATTTATGTTTATAAATATTATAAATCTATTATGAAATTTTTACCCTATAATATATAGTAACAATGTTGCAATTTCAAATGATTAAACTAATGAAACATTGGCTGTAGTCACAATATAAAATTCAATAACGAAAATTACCATAAACGACGGCACAAATGTACATGTACATAAATTTTCACCTGACCTCGACCCCATTTCATGGATCAGTGATCAATGAATTAGTGAATTTAGGTCCGTTTCTTCTTATAATGTAATCAGTAGGTCAACTATGTTTAGTGTATGGAATGATTGTTAGGTGTACATGTCAGTCTGGCAGGTTTCATCTGACCTTGACCTCATTTTCACATTTCATTGAGCAATGTTAAGTTATTATGTTTTGGTCTGCTTTTTGTCGAGACTGCGAAATTTATTTCGCGAAAGCGAGACATAGTGATCCTAGATTCCGACGTCGACATTTAGGTTCAGTCAGTGGTTAAACGTTTTTTTTTACATCAATAAATTTGTCAAACCTACATGGAATTAGATGAAATTTGGACAGAAGCTTGTTTATAACCAAAATACAGTATCCAGAGCAATATTTTGAAAATATTTATTTTGATTTTTCCGTATTTTTCTGATAAATGGACTTAGTTTTTTTTTACATTTAACAAAAGATACAGTCTGGGGTTAAAGTTTGTTACAAATCAAATACTTTGTCAAGCCTTCGAAGAGTTTTATGAAACTTTTGATGATTAACAGATAATGTCTGAAGCACACTTTTGAAAATATATTTTCATTTTCAGTATTTTTCTGATAAATGGACTTCTTTTCAGTAAACATTTAACTGACAGCCTGGGATTAATTTTTTTTGACATAAGTTTGTTAACCTTCATGAATTGTTATGAAACTGGAACAGAAGCTACTCTTCAAGACCAAGAAATAGCATCTAAAGAGAAAGTTTGAATCTTTTTTAACATTCTGTATTTTACTGAAAAAAGGAATCACTTTTTAAGTCAAAATTACACTTTTACACTGACAGCAGCAATCGTAGGCGACACACAGGGTTCCGCGGAACCTCTTACAAATATGGTAGTACTATAAGCAGTAGCTCAATTACATTTGGTTTATGGAATGTTTGTAAGGTGTACATGTCTGTCTGGCAGATATCATCTGTCCTTGAATTCATTTTCATTGTTCATGATTGGTCAATATCAAATTTTTATGGTTTGGTCTGTTTCTTGTTTTCTATAAACAAAAGGGTAAACTATATCTGGTGTATGTAATGATTGTATGATGTACATGTCTGTCTGTTTTTGTTTATTTGAGCTTGACCTCATTTATATGGATCATTGATAATGTTTAGTGATGCTTGTAATAAAACTTAATCTTTATGAGTATCAACATAAAATCAATCAAGGTTAATAATGCAGGCGAGACATTTCAGCGTGTGCACTCTTACTATTAACTCCTTTTTATGAACTTCGGTATTTCTTGTAAATGAAAATAACATTTTTAAATTTCGTATTCCCATCCAGACCCTCTTATATTACCGTAATTCTATATATATATATATATATATATATATGTACCTTTGATCTAGCAAGGACAACAACTCCAATCAGATATAAAAACACTGTTGACTTCTTTTTACTATTTATTTTTATCATAACAATCTGGGACTAATACACATTCAATTTGGTCTAATTTACAGTACATTTTTTATTTACACATTATACAGTTATTTTATATTCGATTAATATAATCTACTAAAATATTCCGTAACTCGGAGAGTTTATAATAGTTCATAAATTATTCACTACATACTGGCTTTTATGGCTTCGTAAGAAACAAGTAAAGATTTGAATGTTAAAACGATATCCTTAATTATGACGTAATCACATGAATATCTGGATCTTCTGTCCATAATCGGCATTTGGATAGATATGATATCACGTGATTGATATTTTTTTATGACAGCACCTGATTGGTCGATGGCCATATGAACATGACAGAGAACATCGTACAGTTTGTTTTCAATGTCAATTATATCCGTTGAAAAAGCGCCGTGGTCGTGATTTTTTTCATTGATTTTAATCTGCTCCAGGAAAATTGCAGCTGTTGATAACTGTGTGTACGATTCCAAGAGTGTAACCGTTATCTGTAAAAGAATATAGATTTAAAAAAACTGCAGTTTACACGACAAAGAGACTTACAATTAATATAAAAAGGAGACATTCTATATAATTGATAGCGTTTTGAAGAGTGTTGTTAAACTTTTCGTCGTTTGTTTTGTTTGATATGGGTTCAATCTTTTTATACATGTTACTCTTAATATAGAAATGAGAAATTTTACATACTTTAAAGGTATAGAAAAATAAAAACCAATTTTTATATTTAACAAATTACTGATAACTGTTGATATGCAACATGATAGTTCGTGAAGCCTTTCAATAAAACATCTTCTGCCATTTATATACATAGATCTACACCCGAGAATGTTATACATCTTGTTTAAATTGAAAAATAAAAGTACAAATCTGTATTCGGATAATGAACTTTACAAATGGTATTTTTAAACTCAAAGTAAGAATTTGACAAAATATCGTTACTATTATCTAACTGAAATTAGAAGTCACAGTTTCAATTGCAAATGAACACAAGGAAACAAAACTTACATTTTCAATAGCCAATGAAACGTTCTTTTCTTGAACATCTTCAACTCGGAAACCATCCAAATGCATTTTATCTAACCGACTTCTAATGGCTTTAATGATGATTCTCTCATTTGCCTAGCAAGATAGAAGAAAAAAAAACAACATTTTAATGCTTGTAGTTTACAATCAATGGTATTCTAAGGAAAACACAAACGTGCTTGCATTTTTCAAAATTCAGATGAACTGTAAAAAAAAAGGTGACTATATACATTGCAACTAGCTGAAATATACTATATAAACACAATATTGAAAGTAACAACTCTTCAATCGCTGTCCCTATTTTAAGGGTAACTAAAACGCCTTCAACTATGAGTTGCTACTCATACCCCACAGCGAGACCAAGACGCCCCCTACTGCCAACATTACTGTAGCGCTCTTTGATATACATCGCTATAAGATATTGACCATATATCTTTTCTTTTTTTTTCTGTTGTTTTCGGGGAGGGAGGGGCCTGTTTTATTTTTAAACACTTTGCTTGAATATTTATGTGTTGAAGTGTGAATATTTAAAATTATTCACACTAGTCCTAAAGAAGTTGTCAAGCGCACTCACAAGCAAGCAGTAATAATCTGGCTAGTATCATGTTTTGAGACATTTTTTAACACCTTCTGTATTGACTTTCTGTGAGTTTGTAAATGACGGTCTGGATGGGGTTCACAGAATTAAAAATTGTGGACCAAGTGTACAGAAAAAATGGTAAAAAATAAAGAATAGAGAATAATAGGCTAAAAAATAAATAAAAGATGATAATAGCGTGCTTAGATATAAAGAAAAGAGAATAACGGGAAGAATAAATAAGATATAGAGAAAAATAACATAAATAATTAAAGAATAAAGAAATGATGACCACACCATACAGACTCTTGTAAATGCTTTTTATAGTGTGTATTACAGTTAAATAGGAAATATCAAATAAACACTGATCTTATAAAACCGTCATGGACTAAAATAGGAAGAATAAACAATAGTTACAATATGAGAAGGAAATCCTCAATTACATTAAGTAAATGAATTTAAAAAATCAATAACGTAGTGAATCCAAAATCTTAAGCTCTTTTTACAAAGTTTGAACTTTGAGTTACCCTGTCATGTTGTAAAGCAATACAATTTCCAGCACATTTGTATAATATATGTTTACTAAAAAGTATCATACAAATAATGAGCCGGACTACGTCTTTTTTAACAGGTAACATCTGACTCTTATTAAAGAAAATAACAGATAATAATACATACGTATTTATTTCTTAGATTGCTTGCTATGTCGTCTGCTTCACGAAGTATAATGATCAGATCAGATATTATTTCAGACTGTGGAGGTAGAGGCGGACGTAACGTAGAAGATCCACAAGGATGTTTCCATCTTTCATTTCCTGCTGGGAAACAATCGATGTTAATCATCGAGGAAACAATAGCTGAAATATGAAGATTTATTATATAATTAGTATCAAATACAAGTTAATTTTATGTACAATACAATCAATGGCAATCGTTTGTATCAATCATCCGTGATGATACTGATGGAAGACATTCAAAAATTCATAGAGAGCAGAGATTATGCCTTAAATGTAACATATTAGAAAAGGAAAAATATTTTTCATTAGATTATGAATTAACTAGGGAACTGAGAAACAACTTTTTGATAATATGGAAATACACTTTTCTGTCAAAGATTTGTCTGGTGAAGAAAAGGTGATTTTTATACTCAATCCAACAACACCATCACAAGTAAATAGATTGGAGTCCTACATTAAAAGGTCATTAGAATTGAGGACAGGGGATTCTGGACTATTTACTATTTATTATTAAACGATTGTATATATATATATATGTGTGAGTTTCAGTTATATTGTATACATATTTTGTATTTGTCACAAACTTATTGTTTAAAGTTTATCAGGCACTAAACATTTGAATTTGATATAAGTCACGGTTATAGCGGCATTATCAACCCCCTACAGTAAAAAAACCCATCTGTTTTGCTTATATAGATAGAGAATATCATATGGCTTTTTCAATATCACATCCTTATCAACCCGAGACACCAATATAATCCCAAGAGCTCTGCTCGACGGATTATATTGGCTGAGGGTTGATACGGTGTGTGATATTGAAAAAGCCATTTCATATACACTTTATTATATACCTCAAGTAGATGTTTTTTATGTGACATGACGTTATACAGAATAGGGGTTTGATAAAGCCTATGCAACAGTGACTGATATCGATGACGTGGCGTCATACAGATTAAATGTGTGGTGTGATAAAGCCTTTGCAACCGTGACTGATATCGATATTATCACGGATGGCTGATACAGCACGATTGCCGTTGACCGTATTACATATACAATTTATCTGTATTTACTACTAAGTATATAATAAGAAGGTATATGATATGACTTAGCCCTCAACAAATAGCATATATCCCTCAATCAGACAGCTCTCGGGATTATAGTGGTGTTTCGGCTTTATACGGATGTGATATTGAAAAAGCCATATAATGTTCTCTATAGAAACAATAGAGATCAAATGTTTGAACACAGTTAATAGTGATACAAATACGAAAGCCTAAGTTGCTATGTTTTTTGACATTTGTAGTAAGATATTAAAACGTAATATTTTTAAACAATATTGACAAGTTTAGATTTCCGAGAAATTCCGAAGTCGTGTTATGGGTCTTGGTCTTTACTCTAACCTACAAGTTGTCAATTATGTCATCTCTGTCTTAAGCACTTAAGCAACGAAAACAGTTATTTGTGTTTTTTTTTCCCTAAATTATGTAATAGCACTAAAATTCATGTTGCATCTATCCTCAGGAAATGTTGAGGGTTAGATCCCCTTATTTCTGTTTTCTTTAGTTTTAGGACATTTGTCTGTATTCTTAATACCCTTAATATTTATTAAATTTCTTTTATATTTTAGTAACCAATTTTTCTCTAATCTTTAGTTATTTTTTGGTAATTATTCTCTTCTATTCATACTCTCCTTTAGGTTCGTTTATTTCTTATACTTGTCTCGATCTTAAAGCCGGGTTCCTCCAGAACACGCGTCATGTCATTGTGCACGGAAATCGTTTTTATATGCTTTTTCAATAATGAATAGATACATACCAAAAACCGCTAAAATTCTAAACTGAAGGTGCATTATTGTTTTTTTTTTTCTTTTTATTATTGTAAAACTTTGAAGCAATTGAAAAAAATTATAACGAACTCGTAATATATAATCATACCAGAAAACTTTCACTGATGAAAAATTAAAAGGGACTTAAATAAGATCAGATACAACTAACTAGGAACTTATCTTAACAAATCATCTCTTGGTGTAGCCGTAAACAACAATACATTTGACGGAAGATCATTTTGACGTCATCCTCATCACATAAAATCTTAACACAATAAAAGAAGAAATTTATAATCGGACATCCTTTCGGAAATGTACTTTACTTTGTCATTGTGGTCAATATCCTATTTGATAATAGTATGTATTAGTTATATGAGTCCTGTTTCCCACTTATGTAATAGCTATATGCGATTGCATCACTATCGTTTAATAGTTTTACGTTAGTCAGAGTAACCAGTGGCAGACTCAAAAGGGAGGGGGTGCGTAGAAGGCGTACAGAAAAAAAAAAATTTTTTTTTTGCTTAAAATCGTCCAAATTTATTTTTGTCACGCTACGCTCAGTGCTATTTTTACCATTTTTGACAATCATGTCATTTCCTTTGTCCCTGGATCCGCCCATGGTAATCAAGGTTTCAAGGAATTTTGCTCGCCTCGAGTGCTGGAGGTTATTGTTTCAATTCTCGTCCGGGTGAATGATAAAACTTGAAAATTAGTATTTGCTGCTATCCTACTACACACGCGGCATTTATGAGTAAGGTTAAATACTGGTCGGCTCGAAATCAGAATAATGTATCCGGGTAGGGTAAAATGTCTTTCTGTGGATTGCTACTCTGTAAAGTAGCAGTGTGTCGGTATCGTACAAAGCAAGATTCATATTTATATCACATTATTGCGAAAGAAATGAAACTTTTTCACAGAATCACTTTCTCTTGGTCAAGGTATTGAAACATTTGTCAATTCTTTTGTCCCATTGAATAAATACAATTATAGCTATTGTTTTCTGTGTAGTTTATTCGCTGTGACCTTTTGATTTATTCTAAGAGAAATCCATGACTCATTGATTAATTAACCTGAAGAAAAAAATATCATCTAAGTAGATGAAAATACACGTATCATCTCACAAAACTGCATGTGGTGTTGTATTTATTCAATATCAATAATATTTTTTTAAATCTGTTCAATATAAACACTGATAGCTTTTTTCTATAAAAATGATCAGATGACTTCTTATAGGCGTTATTTCGCTTAAGGCTAAATGACGATTTTTAAACAGCTGGTTTTTTTTTTTTTTTGCAGTTATCTTAAAAACTATATAACATAAATAGAAACTGTTAATCACAAAATGATAAGCATATCAAGATTTAACTAAACGATTGGTCAATTTACTCCTAAAGGAGTAATTGCCCTTAGATAACGATTTTTATTTTAACCCATTGTTATAGTCTTTGTCAATCATCTCGAAAACTATAAAAGATACAAAGAAACTGTAAACAGCCAAACTGATCAGTCAAAAAAGGATCTGCAAATAAGTCAGCATAACCAAAATTGTCAATCGACTCTTTATAGGACTTATTACCCTTACACCTCTCGTGACGAATTTTTGGGGGATGGTATCATTGGCAATGATGTATAAGAAAACTATAATGCTATATTAGAGAAATGCAAACAGCAACAATTATATCAGCACGCAAGTCAATATATTTGAAATTGTCACAGTTTTTGTGTTTGGCAATAACCTTGAACAAGTTTTTTTAACCCTCCCCTATTAGGAGTTATGGCCTCATAATTTGCTAAAACTTGAATTTTACTCAAGGTATGAAGGGAAATAATCACCATGTATGTTTCAAGTATACGTTTATACTCCACTTTACTGAAGGCTTTGTTGGGATTTGTCTACCAATTCATTTGTTTGTTAGTCCCGCAAATTTTGTGTAGACTTATTTTTGGTAGACCAGAA